AATTCACGGACTTTTAAGACATCTCTCATCCTGTTTATCCGTGAATTTACATCGTGTTTCCCGGCTCTCGCCGGATATTGGCACACGCCTCTCAAAATCTTTTCTGCCGGAAAGTAACCCTATTTTTTTTCTAACAATCTTCGTTTCTTTAACTAAGATGCTTTGAGGTTCGCCTCGTACGTGACTTTTATGCAGCAATCGGTGCGGACATAGAAATGAACACTGAAGTCGACTGTCTGTTTCACGGCTTAAGCGATTGTCTAATGATTGCTTACGGCATGAAATTACTAGTTACCATGCATGAGTGAGTTCTATGTCGGCACCGTTTGTATCTGCAAACGCATCATCATCATCCTCATCAATGTCATTTCTCAACTTCTCTTTGCAAATACCTCTGATAGGTCCCGACTAAACCTTCCTCCTTAATTCACGAATGTGCTGCAGGTCATCCAAGCTCTTCCAAGAAGATGAAGAAAAAGATGATAATCTATCACACCTTGGAAATTCAGAAATTATTTTGTAATTAGTAATTTAAAATTATAAAATTATGATAAAATTCAAATAATAAAATAAAATAACAAAATATTAAATATAATGAAATATAATAAAATATTATAAAATATAATAAAATTAATAATATTATTAATAATAAAATATAAGAAAATAGTAATAATTAATATAATAAATATAATAATTAATAATAATAATAATAATAAAACGTAATAAAAATTACTAAAATATAATAAAATAAAATTATAATAAGATTATATTAAAATTATAAAATTTAGATAATTTTATTATTTTATAATCAGAAATTATTTTATGAAGAAGAACCCTGTAAAATCAGAAATTATTTTATAATTAGTAATTTATAATTTAAATTTATAAAATTATAATAAAACTCCAATAATAAAATAAAATAAATTATAAAATATTATTAAATATATTAAAATATAAAATATAATAAAAATTAATCTGTCACACCTTGGAAAATCAGCTTCAATAAAAATGAGAAGATCGTGGTACTACAGGTCAAAAATGAACAGATCAATAGGAAAAAATACATGATGCCGGGAATGTCGGACTTTCCAAGGAGCAAAAATAACCAAATACGCAAATAGTAAAATCCAGCCATTTGTTTGTCTTGTAATCGTTCCTAAATAGTGCACATGAATATAGTGAGTCACTTGACACAAGTGAAAAAAACCTACTGACGCCTATTTCACACTTTATCGATATTTAACGTGTAACGTGTCTCGATAGAAGTATTTGGTAGATAGAACGTTTCCTTTGGTTTCAGCACAATTATTTCTACGGCTTTCGACCACACCTGAATATACAGATTTGGATATTTCCTCTGTGTCGTTACAGACAAAGGAATCGGAATTGTTTTCAAAGCTGTCGAAGATAATAGGTTTCCACATACTGCCGACAACATCATACCATTTACAAACAAATGGATTAATCAAATGTGCGCATAGAACTCTAAAATTGGCAATCATTGCCAAGAAAGAACCGTGGTTGTCAGCTCTACCTATTGTTCTCGGAATCAGGGTAACACCTGACGAGTTGAATTACTTTCCATTTACTGCTGTCTCAGAAGGCAATGCACAAGTTCCTCGGATAATAATCGGTATACAAACGAGTACATTGGAATAACAAATTCACAAATAAAGAATTTAGCTAAAGAAATTTGAGACCGCTGAACTATTCAACGGATGTTTGTATTCTATACCCTCTTCATATGCCTCTAAATACCTATAAGATATTTGGTTACGAACAGTGATCAGAAGCCGCAGGAGACACCGAACACAGTTCCATTTGAAGTATTACACCCTGCATTAATATTATTATTAACCCTAGTCTCTCCACTGAGATGAGACGTGACACAAGGCCGGGTTCAATGTGGAGAACACAAGCGCGTACACCCGGGCTAAGGACAAAAATTACCCAACCCCCGCAACCGTCGACTGGGCTGGCATCAGTATGCCTTACCGATCTCCTATTTTTAGTGCAATATGTGGTGGGTACAGCCTCGGGCAGCTGTTCCCCGAGACTGAGAACCTAAGCTGTTCCCGGGACTGAGCACCTATGCTGTTCCCCGGGACTGAGCACCTATGCTGTTCCCCGGGACTGAGCACCTAAGCTGTTCCCCGAGACTGAGCACCTAAGCTGTTCCCGGGACTGAGCACCTATGCTGTTCCCCGGGACTGAGCACCTATGCTGTTCCCCGGGACTGAGCACCTAAGCTGTTCCCCGGGACTGAGTAACTTTCCCTAAGCTGCGTATCTGTCCGCGGACAGAAACACAACTGAGTCGCACTCTACCCGAAGATAGGGACACAACTAAAACATGATAAAACCTGCCCGGTATGTACCAGGTACCCCTGCATTAATTCCAGAAAATAAGACTGTTAGAGATTTTATCATATCGCAACAAGAATCAAACAATTCTTTAGCAATTCCGAAGGATATAATACAATAAAAAAATAAAACAGCCAAATCTAAATCTGGAATGAAAAAAAGAAAATACATATTTTTACTATTAAAAATGATGCATAGCACACACACACATACACACATAAATACGTATATAGAAATCATTTTATAAAAACTCCGTTCTCTGGAAAAGTGTCTGGTGACGGAGAAATAGAAATAATTAAAAAAGACCAAAATTTTGCATCTTTAAAAATAGACGGATAATAAAAATCGCCAGGCAATCAAAGCCATAGTTTGACCAACCAATCAGAAGGTATTCACCAGTGAAATGTAAGAAAAAGAAATAAAAAAATGATGACAAGAAGAAAATTTCCCCATTTTTGAAAATAAATATTTCGACAGACCATTCAAAAAGCTTCCACAACCAGGATATAAGGCCACGTAAGATAATGAGAAGCAAGCGAATCTATAAATGTATATATAAACAGATGGAAAATCAAATACAGTAAGAGTTTGATAATTTCATTTTGTCCATTTTCCGATCCTGTGGTCGTCGTAACATACTGAGAGTCGAAATACAGTACGACTAGCTAGCGACTTGAAACAGCTCACCATCCTTGTTACATTGAAAACAAACATGTCTTCTTCCAACATGTTGTCCAGTGGAGGCTACTATATTTGGATACATAAATACTCACTCCATCTTTCTCTCGTCCACAAAACAACCTACAATACAGGGTGCGCCATTTTATATTTTTAATTTCGCGCATGCGCGTTGTTTATTTTTGATTTTCTCAGCAGCACAGTATAGTAGAGTTAGTTGGGTACCGTCTGTGAGAAAAAAAGTGCACCATGATACAGTTCACTCGGCCAGAAATTTGGAAACAGCATGCTCTGTTGCTTGGCATTTGCGCCCGAATCTCCAGTGCGAACATTTCAGAGTGTTTGGGTGTCAATCTGAGAACAGTTCAGAGAATTCGGAAAGAGTTGGATGAGTCTAATGGTGATTACGAAGGTACGGCAACTCGAAAAACTCACTCTGATCGTTATCATAAGAAAAGAGCCCCTGAAATTGTTGGTGAGGCCTCAACACAGTCCTACATCATGTGTTGGCATTTGCGCCCGAATCTCCAATACGAACATTTCAGAGTGTTTGGGTGTCAATCCGAGAACAGTTCAGAGAATTCGGAAAGAGTTGGATGAGTCTAATGGTGATTACGAAGGTACGGCAACTCGAAAAACTCACTCTGATCGTTATCATAAGAAAAGAGCCCCTGAAATTGTTGGTGTGGCCTCAACACAGTCCTACACCATGTGTTGGCATTTGCGCCCGAATCTCCAATACGAACATTTCAGAGTGTTTGGGTGTCAATTTGAGAACAGTTCAGAGGATCGGAAAGAGTTGGATGAGTCTAATGGTGATTACGAAGGTACGGCAACTCGAAAAACTCAATCAGATCGTTATCATAAGAAAAGAGACCCTGAAATTTCTTGGTGAGGGCCTCAGACTCAATACAGTCCTGCATCATGTGGCTTGAGGAGGTAGTGCTGCCCTGGGTCAAGAGGGTGGCTGCTAGAAGACCCGATGTTTGGCAACAGGACTCTGCACCATGCCACACATGCAGGTGAACCCAGTTAGTGCTGTCAGACAATTCCTCAGACTGCAACTCCCTTAATTATTATGTGTGGGGCACAGTTGAGCGAGAGACAAACAAAACTCCTTGTAATATCGAAGATGAATTGAAGGCAATGATTATTGCAGAATTCACCGACTTAAAAAAAAAATGAGACCGTCCAGAGATGCAGGAGATTTCCGAATCCGAATCAGCAAAAGGTTAGAACGTCACGTTTGGTGTCGCGACCAATACCAAGTCACATTGGTCGTCACGGGACAGGATAAGACGGCGACGGCGCGGAGACAGACGGGGTGACGTCACAACAGGCGCCGCGACCGGGACATCACAGCGGACGCGGCCAGGCAGACGTCACGATTGGCGCAGCGACACCGGGGGACGTCACAGAAGGATGCCATTTTAAAGACGAATTTAATGATAGTCTAGTCTCCTAGTGCGTTAAGACAGCCTTATAATAGATTTTTAAAATTTGTGGATTAGTCATTTACACCGTTGTACAAATTAATTGAAACAACCGCTTTAATCTCCTTTCTTTCACCATACCGTCAGTTTTAGATCCACTGGAGTGACAGGGTGTAATCGATTTCTATTTTTCCTCAGATTAGGTCATTTGCAGTGGTGTGCAGTAATATGAATCTGTTTTTGGGGTGTGTGATGAAATTTGTTTGGCCTTGACAAATATTACGTCATCAGTGATTGCATCAAATTTTTATCACGATCAGACACTACTGTTTCAACTGTCGATTAGTTGTCCTACGGTCATTTTCTGCGATGGACGTTACTCCACGGAAGCGTACGAAAATTGTAACGCTGCACGAACGCTCTGACAAGTCTTAACAGTGAGCAAATCAAAGTACTATAGATAGGCCCGGAAACTCTGGTTTAAATCCAATCGAGAATCTGGGGTCAATCCGCAAGGAACGACTTC